ACAGCAGCTTTTGAAAATAAATGTTTAATAAGTGCTTTTGATAATGACAATGAAAATGATTGAGACCTACAATTAATTTTGTAGGAGAAGCCACTTCATCTCTTGGCAGAGTCCCAGAAACACAGGATGGACTGGGACCTCCTGCTCAGCCCATCATAAATGAAGTGTGCTTTTCTTTGTGTCCGAGTTCCACTGTTCGTTATAGCTATTGAACGAGCTAAGGCAAAGGGCCGTGGTAAAGTAGACTGAGGAGGGGAGGCAGTGATAAAGAGCATGGACTCTGGAGTCAGACAGAGATGGGTTCAACTTATTAGCCATGTGACCTTGGCTTCTTGACCTTGGAAGTTTATTGACTTCTCTAAGTCTTTGTTTTTGCTTCTAAAAGATCCGTCGCATTGTATAAAACTTTCACCATCTATACAATAGCAATAATAACAGTACCTACCTGGAGCAGTTGTTGTAAGAACCGAATGAGAATTTTTCAAGTTTAAGAACAGCATCTGACACATAAAAATTCTCAGTAAAAGTTTGGTTATTTTTGTACTGCATCCAATCTTACTGTTTTTATTTACAAATTATTTTTAGTTGTTAACAGCCTGATGAACCAAATGTGAAGTCATTCCATTGTTTTTGTTTTGGATCAGTTTCTATATAGTTGGCTTCCTTAAGAATATTTCCATCTTAATTTTTATAGTATTTTATACTTTTCATAAACAGTTTATTTCAGTGACATCAAAACACATGGTTTTGAGAGAAAGGCTATATGTTTTCCCAAATCCTTTATATTTTTCTGAAATGCTAACAATAATGATAGTAAGGCTGAAAAGGAGCTCCATTTTGGTTAGCCCTATCGTTAGGAATTACATATGAACATGTGGTCACGAGAATTAGGCTGGATACTGAAAGCAGGATTCTTTTTACGAAGTAAAGATACTAGATTAATCTTTGCCAGATGTCAAATAATTATTACATATGTTTTGATATGGAAAGATCTCTGAGGTATATTGTTTGGTGAGAACAGCAGAATGCTGAACAATGTATAAACTATGTCTCTATATGTGTTTGGAAAAAGAATACAGAAAGGAAATTATATAGAAATATAGATATTTATAGACATATGTGTATGTTTGTATAAGACTAGAAAATTTCTGGAAGGATTTACAAGAAACTGTCAGTAATGATTGCCCTGGAGAGAATAACTGAAGATTTATGTTAGAGACATTTCATTACATATTTTTTAGTACTTGTTAAATGTTCAAACAGTGTATATTTTACTTTTTAAATAAAAAGCTAGTATAAAAATTGCCATCATCAACAGCCATTTATGGAGTTCCTACCCACTATAAGCAATGTGCTAGACTTATATGATATGCTTATAAACTAATGTTCACAAGCATCCTGTAAGTAGAAGTTACGTAGCTTGTAAAATACTGCAGAGCAAGTAAAGGATGAAGTACTTTTTTCTGCTTTTAGTTAGAGTTTTCAGAAATCCATAATTCACAGTCACCAGTATAGACATTCAGCTCTTTACTACATAGAAAATGAAAAGGATTTCTTCAATTACTATCTAAAATCATTGAGATTACAAATTCTGTCAATATCTGCCATTCCTAGAGTTTCACTGGGTAGAGACTTAAAATAATGTCTTTCAAACCTTTTTTTCTTTTTACCTATTAGGATAACTTTGTCATATAATTTTTTTCTGAGTTGGAAATTATAACCAGGATTTGCTCAAAATCCATCTGATTTTCTGTCTAAATATGTTCTGACTTTCAGTATGAATGCACCATTGCTATATGGCCTTTAAAAACAATATACTCATGGGTACAAATATCGTATTGTATATTTCAAGACAGTCAGAAAAAGAGGACCTTGAATGTTATGACTACAAAGAAATGATAAATGTTTAGGTGATAGATATACTAACTATTCTGATTAGATAATTATACAATATATGCTTATACTGAAACAACAAATTGTAACCCATAAATATGTATAATGAAAAAAATAAAATAAAAATTTGAAAAAAATTGCCTAAGTTGTACTATGTCAATTACTTTACACATGATTTAAGTAAACACCATTATTTACATTTTCTGCATGCAAAATCTGTGAAGCGTCTGAGTATTATAACATAATATCTATTCTATTGATCATTTCCAGTTGTGATTTGAAGAACTACCATAAAAACATCAAGGGTCATAAGGAGATGGCAGCACAGCTACATTACACACAGGTCTTCATATCTTATTTGAAATTTGGAAAACAGCGAGAATAGCTGAATAAAATTTGCTAGCAAGGAAGAAAGAGATAAATTGAAGATGGCCCAGATTGTTGATGTCTACAATGGAAGGAGAGCACAGAACATTGGAAGTGGGAAGGGGGAGGAAGGGGGGAGAGGGAGGGAGTTGAGAGATTAATGAGAAATTGGTTAATGGACACAAAAAATGATCATGTACTGTAATGATGAATAAGCTAACTATACTGATTTGGTCATCCATCACATATTGTACACAACTATTGGTAGTCAACTTTGTACCACACAAATATGTATAATCAATTACGCTTCAGTGAAAAATAAATAAAGGAAGAAAAAAAGGAAGAGCACACGGAGGGGCAGACAGGTCTACACAGCTTCAGCAACACTAGAATGGTCCTGACTGTGGGAATGTGCACATTGTAGATGTGATTTTGGATATGCGGATACTTCTACATGATTTAATCAAGATGAAGTACCCTACATCAGTGAGGGTCAAGTTCATAAAAAGAATAACTTATTACTATACTCATTCACAATGATTATTCAGGGCATTGAGCTTAAACCTAATTTTTAATACATTTAATCTGCTATTTCTTTGTGTCTGAAAAAAAGTGCTTTAAGTTAATGTTAGGTCCTTAGACCCATTTTATCGCTTCAAAAATGATACAGTATCCCTAAAAGCTATCAAATCTGTCAAATGCAGCTATAACATTTCTATTGTGTGGTCATTCAAATGGTTTTCTAAACAACTGTTCCTTCAGAGCTTTAAAAACTTCCTTTATTTAAAGATTTACATAAGCTGTGGCTTTAGAAATTACAAATAAGCTACTTTTCTCTCTGTGGAATGTCAGTCCTAAGAACAATGAGAGTTTACTTCATTTCCTTTTTAATGGAGTTAAAATTCTATTTTCTCTTGTCATAAATTGGGGAAGGAGATGAGTGATAATATTTAAATTTTGATATTAATTTTAACAAAGGAAGCAGCTTTAAAAATTATCTCACGTAATGTGGTAGAGTACCACAGAATTTCAAAGGTGGCATAGAATTTCAAAGACTTTTTTTTGGAGGACTTTGGCTCATTTTACTTCTTCAGGATAAATTGAAATCTTTTTCTAATACCCTAAATTTCTTTTTCTGCTTCTACATGTTGGAAACTCATTGTATCCTCTTCTGTCAACTTTCTTTTCCTTTTCTTTCTCCCTTTTTCTCTTCTGCCATTTTCTTTCCTCTCTCCTCATGTAGGAAAGAAAAGTGACATCGCAGTCTGATTTCAGGAGTTTCAAATTGCCTCTCTTCTCAGACATCTTCATGAGGACTATGATTTTGTCTAAAATCACCACATTGCTAACTTTTTAAGTTTGACGCAGTCTGATTTCAGGAGTTTCAAATTGCCTCTCTTCTCAAACATCTTCATGAGGACTATGATTTTGTCTAAAATCACCACATTGCTAACTTTTTAAGTTTGATTTATAGCACCAAATATCTCAGATAAAATATAAATCTTATGTGCATAAAGAAACCAGCCACTTAGCAGAGGGTTGCTGTTATGGTATATAAAACAAGCAAGGTTTGGGTGGGGGAGAAGGGATAAAGGAACAGAGCTAAGAATGTGGATCTTCCTCAGGAAGTCACTCAGTCTCTGGTGGTAGGACCACAGGCAAGGACCCTAGCATCCAAGGGGAGTAAGTTTGGGAGATGGGTTTCCTTCTGGAAAGAAGGATAGGCAGAAACTAAAGGGAGATTTCCCCCTTTAGTTTCTGCCTGTTAAAGAGGTTAATGATTAGCCTCTTTCCTGAGTGCACGATTCCTAGAATCTCTGGAGTGGACAACCATTTAATAAAAAATTACCAAATGAATGAATATGAAAGGAACTGTTTCAATCTTTTTTTTCCCTGTCCTCAAAATTTGGACAAGAGTAAACTACATTTGAATATGTGACATCTAGTTATTCTTTTTAGGAAGTAATTATATTCCATCAAAAATGATATTCATTCTAAACCGTGTTCCAAAAGAGCAGGAAGATAAAGTCCTTTAACATATTTCAGAGCAAGTTATGGAAGAAGAAATCTACTAAGCTTCTAAATGATTTGTTCCAAGATTAGAAAAAGTACTGCCTCATATTTCCAGCAGATTTGGAAACCCTGGATGTATTCCTTAAATAATGAAAAGTTTAGACACTTTTCCTTCTGTACTTAAATTTAATTTAGTTATTTTTATATGCTGAAGTGCATTCAGGAGCCTCACACAAAGTTTTGAAGAGGAAGGGATAAAATGCTAAATATTATACATCTCTGCTCTCTTTTTAAAGAAAATAAAAATGCCCATGCACACTAAAGGCTGGCACCCACCGTATTAAGGACAGCAAGCACAGGTGACTTTTTTTTTTTTTTTAGCAATTGAGTATAGAGACATTAATACTAAGGTGGAGCGAGCTTAGTGCTCAGTTTGACATGTCTAACCAAGTGTGAATTAAATAGCCTATAATCGTAAACAAGCTATGGCATATTGCCTAACTTTCAGAGTCAATTCTTCAGTTCTCTATCCTAAGTCAGTAAACATTTGTGAAACACTTTTTGTGTGTTTTCTGTTTATTGGGAGTTAGGGACAGTTGTGTAAGTAAGATGGATGGTTTGAGATAGACCTCTTCATTTGACTGTTTCACATTCATAGTAGTAAAGAGGAGGCAATGACCTGAAAGAATGAGTAAGGGCGGACACTCTCCCATGCCCTTCAAGCTTACCTTGGCGAGCTGCTCGTGAATGTCAAGTAGGCTGGGCCGGTTGACCTTGGGCCCGCTGACGCTGCCGGTGTTACGATAGTACTCGATCTTCGGGACGGCATCCACGGTGTTGTGGCCAAAGGTTTGCAGGTAGTATGTGTTTGTGTTAGAATCATAAGCGTGAAAACTGGCATCTGTTTTAGCAGTTTCTCCATTATGGAGGAAATTGTCATAGCGCTCCTGATTCCCAGGCCTAAAGCTGATTCTGAGTCTGTTCTGGGTTTCATCCCCAAAAGAGGTTTCTTCGTAATGTGGCGGGTCGGTGTTGCCATCTGCAGCTACACTGCTCTCATGGCTCTCACTTATGACATTAACTTGAAAGCGACTGGCATGACTGGGCACTGAGTCCAGAAACACAGTGGAAGAATTGTTCAGAGACATCTTCCACAATGGATGTTTTTGGACTAAGCTATCAACTTTAAGGTTGATTTTTTTTTTTAAAGCTATATATTTCCTTCTCAAAATAAACACTAATGCAGTTACATTAGGGAGAACTTGGCTTTTGTTTTAGACAAACTCAAAAAATAGATTCTTGATATGTTGTCTCCTATATAATCTTCAGAATGTTCTTCAAAGCTGTCATTGAAAAAGAAAATTAAACTTGTTTCAAGTAATATAAATATATATAAGTAGGGGTGGAGTATGAGGGAACTGTTTTCTTCTATAAGACAAGCGATTTTAAATTCATTTCATTAAAAATTACCTGTCCAGAAATCTTGGTTACCTGGACAATTAAATCCTATAATAAATAACTGGGGGTCTGCTTCAGCAAACAGAATTTCTAATAAACTCATTAAAATGTTACCTATGTTTGTAGTATTTGTTTGGTTTCAGTGCAGTTGTTTTCAATATGACTTTTAGAAAAGGTATATCTTTACCAATTGGGTACAGTAAGAACTGCTGAGAATATTCTCAGCCTGAAACACAGTTCACTGATGGTACTAAATGCTGCAACTGCACAGTATTTTATGGTTGATAGGAATATACATTACACAATAAATAAATTAAAAAATAAAAACTAAAAAATGTTCTTGCTAGTTTATAAAAATCTGTACATATTCAAGTAATAAATTTGTTCCAGAAATATTTTGTTACCTATGCAACAAGTGAAAAATAACATTTTAGAATGTAAATTAAAAAAATAAATTCCATCAAAACGATGCCTCTGTAAATTTTTGAATCTTACTATCCTTCAAAATGTTTCATTTGCTTACACATTTGTTTATTTTGCAGCTGCTATTAAGGAGCCTTAAAATAACATATAAATAATTGGGGTAAGGAAAAAAATCATAGCATTTAATAAAGTTGTATGTTATATCTAGGTAAAATAATCATGCTCTACTGATTCCCTTTAATGAAATGTTCTCAGTAATTGAGAGGCTTATATTTGATTGTGAGATGAATAGAATACATAATAATTTTCACAATTCCATGGTATGAGCCCATCTTAAAACACTTTCTTTAGAATACTATCTCTTCATGAATATCTTAAAATTTGGCTTTTCAAAGAAAGTTCTAGAAAGATAAGATAAATACAAATACTTGCCTCTGCCATAGAGTTATGAAAGCTATTTCATTATGAAAAAAAATCCCAACTTTGACTCTCAAATAACCTTTCCTATGAAATTATAAGTGAAGCTGTTACGTTTTAGCGTTTGCAGCACACCTCTCTTCTCTTCACAGTCCTTGACATCCTTGCCTTTACTCCACTCCTCAGAATCTCTTTATGACATAACACAGACAATTTTTACCCTGCCCAGAAATGTTTAACTTACCACCCAGGAGCCTTCTCTCTCTTCTCTTCACAGTCCTTGACATCCTTGCCTTTACTCCACTCCTCAGAATCTCTTTACGACATAACACAGACAATTTTTACCCTGCCCAGAAATGTTTAACTTACCACCCAGGAGCCTTCTTCTGAGGAAGCATAACCTGCTTCAGCCTCACAAAGGACTATATGGGCACTTAGCTTTCAGCCCAGAATCTTAGGCTTCTTCTTATTGGGTAGAACCTTTCTTGAAAGAGGCGACTGCCCAATGATTGGCCTGGAATACTACTGTAAGCCCTGCCCAGTCATTAGCCCTGAGGAACCTTAAATACCTCATTAACCGGTAACTAGTAGTAAACCATTAATCCTTTTAGACAGGAAGTAAACTAAAGTTTCTTAATTTATAAGGAGAATTGAATTGCTCAACAGCAATCACCCAAAAAATATGAGCATTTTTTCAAATTTTGGGACTCGATAAATTGTGTCCCATTGTCTTATTTAAGATGAGTCCTAGTGATCTCCTATTATTTAGTATGTACACCAAAATATAGTCCTCTAGAGATAACTTCTATACTTTGTAACCAGAAAATGGCATCTGAAATTATTTTATCTTGTCTGTAGTAGATGTCACCTTGACCCTTTTTCACATGGGAAGTGAGCAGATTGAGAGTAGAATAAGTGGTTTATTGAAAATATTTCTACTAAGTGGGGAAACTGTTTCAAGCAGGAATCAAACTGTGGGTATGTTTTCCAGCCGCATTACTAAATGACTTTGTGTCTCCACCTGAAAAAACATTTTTATCAAACCCAGTCTTTGAGTTATGTTGAGGAAAAAGTTCAGCTAAAATCTTTGAGTTGGTGATTATTAAAATAGCAAAAACAATTCCTTCCTGCAGGTTTTGCCACTGGTTTCCAATCAGGGTAACTGAATGAGTCCTCCTCGTGTCTTAGAAGAAGCTATCCAAGGGAATTCCAGTTGTCTGAGTAGCTCGGCTGTGGTGTAATGTGGTGGGTAAGAGCAAGATGCTGGAACTCGATCTACATCCTGCTACTTCTTAGCTGTGTGGACTCAGGAAAGTTATTCAGTCTCTCTGTGACTTAATTTTTTCATCTGAAAATGCATATGTGAGTAGTAATGATACTTAACTTGTTGTAGAGTTGTGAGGATTAAATGAGTTAATTTGTGTATAAGGTTTAGAATAACACTGGTTTGTACATAGTGCTTGCTTTTACTGTTTGATCAAAATTTAAAATTGGCTGGTGGCTTTTACTTGGTTACATACAAGATTCTGAGGTGAATTATTAGAAGTTGGGATAAGTATTATGCCTATTAAAATAGGGGGTAAATTGATGAACAGATATAGGATTAAGAAAAGGGGTTTGGAGATACCTAATTAAAACCCCTTAGATGTTCTTGGTCAGGTAAGTGTCATGCTAATGAGTTGGGCTGATGTCATGAGGCTGTATCAGAAATACAGACAGAATTACAAGTTTATACCTATAACTCATTCTGCTTTTATTTATTTTATTTTGTTAATTTTTTTTTTAAAGATGACTGGTAAGGGGATCTTAACCCTTGACTTGGTGTTGTCAGCACCACGCTCTCCCAAGTGAGCTAACTGGCCATCCCTATATAGGGGTCTGAACCCGTGGTCTTGGTGTTATCAGCACCACACTCTCCCGAGTGGGTCATGGGCCACTTTTAAAGGCCCCCAGTATAAGGCATTTATCTGTTTGAACCCGTGGTCTTGGTGTTATCAGCACCGCACTCTCCCGAGTGGGTCATGGGCCACTTTTAAAGGCCCCCAGTATAAGGCATTTATCTGTTCAACAAAGGGTTCTGACTTCCCATGTAGCAAGTCTTTAGGCATAAAAGTTAGTGACATTTCAGATTCAGCTGGATGGGGTTGGTTGTTTAGATCAGGACTGAGGACAGCTAGGATAAAGCTGGGACCCAAAACTAGTTCAGTTCACCTGACCGGGACAGGGGCTGTGAACTGACATCCTCCATTCCCCACTCTTTCAGGAGCCTCCTATTTATTCTTTAACCTTTTTCTTCTACCAAAGACTGTGAATGCCTCTGATACCAGTCAATTTCCTTTTTCTTGCTGACTGACTGCCTGACTACAGTGTAGTGTGAATTAGTTTTAGTCCTGGTCTTACATCAACCAGACATTTTCATTCTAAGCCTTTTATCTCTAACTGTGAAATGAAAGTCTTTGTTCTCTATTAAGGGGATTCAGACATTCTGGAGCAGATGGGAGATGGTTTGGGGGATATGGACAAAATTACACCATCCATAAGCCTACCTTGAAAGGTGAACCCTTCTTAGGCCTTTCAGACAGTGGGAAAGGTAACAGGAGCAAGCTGTCTGGAGGTACACTCCCCTGTCTTTCCTCCTGTCCTCCCTGACAAGGATCTGGGGAAGAGGCAGCAAGGGGCTGACATGGCCATGACATTGGACATCTATTCCTAGAAGAATTAGCATTTCATGAAATTTCTATATTGAATTCATATTGTAACCAGCTTTTTATATTTTTTATACTGTTTCTATTACTGAAAATTCAGACGTTGACGCTTCACTCACCCTACCCCCCAAAGTCTAAGACACAGGAAAACCATGAATTAAAGCCACACTTTTAGTTAATAGAATTTATCTATTGGAATTGGAATTATTATTATTATTATTATTATCTATTGGAATTATTATCTAAGTGGAATTGGAAATGATAGTGTGGTGGAGTTGATGATGTTCAAAAAGCTTGTGAGAGATGAACTTTTAGAAATGATGCTCATATTTCATAAAATTGTTTTGACTTTTGGTTTTGGGGGTCCTATTTCTTTTGAAATAAAGATCTGGCCTTTTTTTTCCTAGTCACCGAAATGGAGAGTCTAGGTGGATGTCTTCCCTAGGAGACAAACAGAGCCCCTGCTACTTGGATGCATATCCTAGAGAGCACTTTAAAAGCTATTGTCACAAAAGAAATGCCTAGTGTCCTGGCATATATAACTTTCAGTGTTTTCAGTTAAGCTTGTGTCAATGAGGTGTTCTGGGCCAAATTACTAACTGGCTATGAGGTCTTCCAGTCCTACACTCTTGTACCAGCTGGGAAACAAAGAGCCTCCTTGAAGTGAGGGTTTGGTCCAGAAGATCCACAGCCAACAAAGGCAAGTTCTGAATCTACTACAAGATGGAAGCATCGAGGAATCTCACTGAGACAGCTGGTTTTGGAGTGCTATAGACTTGAGCAGTAACCATGTTCATAGTCCATGGAGAAGTCGTGAGGAAGTGTCTGGAGTATAGCCAATGTTAGACTGCCCAAGTTCAATTCCTAATACTCCCTAGCATGGTGACCTTGGAAAAGTTACTTCATCTCTCTCAGTTTTAGTTCCTCATCTGTGAAATTGAGATAAAAATAAAATGGAAATAGTAGTTCCAAATTCAAAGGATTAGCAAGAGTATCAAATAAATGGAAAGCACCTAATTTAGTGTTGTCAGTAAATATGTCTTATTCCTTCTTGTTATGTTCAGCAGTTCTGTGTTCTCAAGTGACATAAATATTTTTGTATTTATTTATCTCCTGCTATATTCCTCCATTCTGACTAGAAGACAGTCAGAATTTTGTAGTTGGAAAGAATTTTAGAAATGTCTAATTCTACCTTTTCACTTCTCAAATGAAGAACATGAAGACTGGAGAGGTTGAATAATTTATTAAGCCATTGCTTCTTAGGGGCTGAGAATCTTTATTACTTCTGATGAGGACAATAAATAATGATGGGAAAGTATGCTTAAACAGTATTTTATGGTTTCAAATTGCTTTCACATTTATTATATCTCAGTGGTTCTCCCAATATTTCTGAAGATTTGAACATTGGGTTTTTTTATCCTTGTTTTGCAGATGTGGAAAATAGGTTACCCTTAGGCAACTTTCTAGGTCATAAGTGAGTTCTTGGCTGGGCCAACATTAGAATTCAAATCTCTGAGTTTAGGCTCCTAATATGAAAAACTTTTCATGGCACTTTAAATCCTCATTCATCTCAGATATCTGGGACTCCAGGCACATTGGTAACATTCACAGGACACTAGAATTGAGAGGGACATTTAAAAGCCTCTGGTTAGGTCTCTCACTGAAGTCTACAGAGATCCATGACTTGCCCAAGCCTGCATAGCTCTAATGGTGGCAGAACTGAAACTACCCTTCTCGTTCTTGATAGAGTGCTTTTTTTTACTAGGTCATGCTAGAAACTCCCTTTTTAATTCTATTTATACAAGGAGTAGGGTGGAGAGTATCTGTGTGAGGCAGGTCTGGTTTGGAATGCAAGCTAAGGGATTTTATTGCAAGACATTCAACAGAAGGAAGAACCAGAAGTATCATCGTGTCGTGAGATTTGGGGACCTTTTGGCCCTGTGGTTGCTTGTAGGGTTTGGATGTTAGTTTTTTGAGGTTGTTTTTTTTTTTTTAACCTGTGAACCCTTTTACCTATGGCTGTTATTAGA